GGCGGCGGTCGAGTCCGGCGCGTTCCCCGTCGTCATCGGGGCTTTACGGGCTCTCAGCTGCTGAGGTCACATGGCGTCTCCGGTCTCTCACCCCGGACGGAACGGCGGGCGCCGCAGGGAATCGAACCCCGTGCCTCCGGTTTCCCAAGCGTGCCTCACAACCATCCGACCATCGGGCAGCGGCGGGGTTGACAGCGCCTGTGCCGCCACCACAGGGATCATGCAGCTGGCGCTGCTGGCGCGGTGTGGCAACATCGCCAGCTCGGTCATCACGTCGGGCGTGCAGAAGAGCGCGGCGCCGCCCAAGATTCACATCACCGACGAGAACGAGCGCACGGTCAGCTACCACAGCGAGACAGCCATCACGCCCGTGGAGCCCGGTGAGCGCGTGGAGGCCGGCGCGCACGTGGGCGCGGGCTGCGACGCCGAGGCGTGCCGCCGTGCGGAGGTGGGACGCGGAGACGGAAGGAGATAGACGGGACGTGGAGACGGATGGAGATGGGCGGAACATAGAGATGGGCGGGGCGTGGAGACGGACGGAGATGGGTGGGACGTGGAGACGGGCGGAGATGGGTGGAAAGTGTAAAAGTGTGGTGTGAGGCGGTAGGAGATGGGCGGGACGTGGAGACGTAAGGAGATAGGCAGGACGTGAGGACGGGCGGAGATGTTCGGCACGTGGAGACGGGCGGGAACATGGAGATGGCTGGGAACTTGGAGACCTTGAGATTGCTGGGTGCAAATTTACGTGAAGACGAGAAGACTGGTACTCGTGGAGACGCGAGGGCGGTTAGGAAGAAGAGGCGGGTGGGGAGGGTGGAGGCATACTGGTTCCCATGCTATACCTCATAAGTACAACGTAACGCCCAAATAACCTGTGCGTCCATGTCGAGGGACACCATCGGAGCTCTTGCGAAGTGCACGTCTGGCTGATTGCACCGCACGGGTTTCCCTAGATGGGTTCTGGCCCGCAGTGCGCTGGGGATATTCGGTCGAATTGCCCTCCCTTAATGTTCAAATGGCGCAAGTCAATACTAATTTGCGGCGGCGAAGTGGCAGGCCCATGCCATTATAGAGCAAATGCCTGCAGAAACCGAGACCGCCGGTGCAGCTGTTATGTTTGCTCCATAAAATAGTCACTATGCGCGGATTACTGTGCTATTTAGGGAATGAAAGCCCCCGAGGCCTCCCTCCCCCCCCCCCGCCCCCGGATGATCTGGGGAGGGGTGCGTGACTCAGTTGGAGCGCTCGCCCGTGGGCGGGCGACGTGCAGTGAGCACGATCCTGTCCGCCCCACTGCTGTTTTGCGTTAGATTGCCCTCATCGGAATGATGGATTGATGCGATGATTACCATAGACGTTACATGGGTCGTGGAATTATCGAAAACTTTATTGAGCAAAGAAAAACGGCGCACAAATGCCGCTGCGTAGTCAACAACACGGCATTGTATCATTCACTAAACACTAACTAAACAGACGTTTGCAGCGTTCAGCTCTTTCCTGCTGTCATCACACTGGTAATTAGTAAAAGGTAGGTTCTTGGTGATTCATTAAGCTGCCAAGACTGCGTGCTCGCTGCCTGCAAGCCGGCCAGCTCTCCGAACACAGTTCAGGGCCGTCTGCTATAACAGGGGCTGACAAATACCCACCAGTTAGGGGGGCCTCTTGGCTGTTTTAACAAGGTCTATATCGCTATTGCAGCCGTGTGTGGCCCTCGTATGACCACAAATCTACCGACTGCAAGCCCAGCGGCGTTACCCGTCGTCCACCTCAGCTGTCAAATAACAAGTGACCGTTGGGTTGTCTGGTGGGCGGATTGTATCAGACCCGTGAGCTGCAATGTCGGTGGCCCCATCCCCGCAACTACACCGTCATGGTCTCGGGACCTTCTTCCGCACCGGAGGAATGTCCTTGAAGTTCTGCTGTGAAGCTCTGCGTGCTGCCAGTGAGACCTTCGTATTTCGGCGACACGTATGTCGGAATTTGCAAGCTGATGCTCTCACCGGAGCTTAATTACATCGAAGGACCTGCTGATATATTTTACCTCCAAGGACCTGGGCCTGCCAGGACGTGATCTCTATCACTGTCACGATGCGGACGAGCCGGTCATTAGTCAAGGTTGGAGCAGCCTAAACGGGCCTGGGACGGGTCATTTGGCGATGGAGGCTGAGGGTTCAGCCGTTTATCACGCCACTGCCTCTGCCACCCGACACAGATGTTGTGACTGGGACCCTGGGGCACTGTCAGCGGTCCAGTCTTGAGTCGTTGCACCTCGCCGGCTGGAGCGCCGTCAGGGGTCCAGTCTTGAGTCGTTGCACCTCGCCGGCTGGGGCGCCGTCAGGGGTCCAGTCTTGAGTCGTCGCACATCGTCGGCTGGGGCGCCGTCAGGGGTCCAGTCTCGAGTCGTCGCACCTCGCCGGCTGGCGCGCTGTCAGGGGTCCAGTCTTGAGTCGTCGCACCTCGCCGGCTGGCGCGCTGTCAGGGGTCCAGTCTTGAGTCGTCGCACCTCGCCGGCTGGCGCGCTGTCAGGGGTCCAGTCTTGAGTCGTCGCACCTCGCCGGCTGGCGCGCTGTCAGGGGTCCAGTCTCGAGTCGTCGCACATCGCCGGCTGGGGCACCGTCAGGGGTCCAGTCTCGAGCCGTCGCACATCGCCGGCTGGGGCGCCGTCAGGGGTCCAGTCTTGAGTCGTCGCACATCGCCGGCTGGGGCGCCGTCAGGGGTCCAGTCTCGAGTCGTCGCACATCGCCGGCTGGGGCGCCGTCAGGGGTCCAGTCTCGAGTCGTCGCACATCGCCGGCTGGGGCGCCGTCAGGGGTCCAGTCTCGAGTCGCCTCACCCGGCCGGTCTTTGGACATGCTCATTTCGGAGCGCCTTGCCTGCCTGCTTTAAGTCTCGTGAGGCGGAATTATTTTTGTTTCTTCGGTGGTGTAGACGATCTGTGTCCCACTGGTGTTTGTGGTCATGTATAGGAGGCCTAAGAAAGTAACTACGATATTGAAACCTAGGCAACTAGGTTTCATTTCCTACGCCTGCCCTATGACACCTAGGGAAGGAATGAATCTGGAGCGTTCGAAACCCAGTCGTTCAGAAGCCCCACCATATAAGTCTTAGTTTCTTCTTGCTTCCTCTGAAGCCACAAACTGTTGAGGGAACTCCTTTCCTGCCCTGCTGTAACAACCTCGATCGTTCAGGTGTCGTCCTTATCTTGTTGTCCCATATTACCGGAGGGCCTACCCCGTTAACGGGGCGTGTCTTAGTCTTATCTTCCTTCGTCCTAACACGGCATTAGCTCAGGGTGTGAGCGGCTGTGTGCTGGACCACGGCTCCCAAGAAGAGGTTTTGATACGACTAAAACGTAGAACGTTGCAAGGAATGAGGGTAAAGTGTAAGTAAAGGTAACTGATAGCCTGTGAACATATGCATGTCACTGCACTGTCTCTACTACAACTTGACGTCTCTTACTGCAAGCGACTGGACACGAATCACCACATCATTTTGAGGCTTGGCATACTGTTGAAGCCACGGAAATGCACGTGTGCCCGCAAACGTGACACCTAACGGCACGTTCATTCGCAGGAGAGACGGCGCCCTGTCTACGCAGGCCCTCCGACCCCGTGACGCCCGTGCGACGCCCGCTCCGCCCCACGGGCAGACGATGTAGTGAAAGTGCGGCGACTGGTCGCCGGGTGGCGTCAGCGTCGAGCGACCGGAGTCGGAGGTGGGAACCGATACGAAACCTGCTTGGCATGTTTGAATATTGCTTACACTCCGCACCAAGATAAGTCAGCCGCTAGATTGCGCGCGAACGGCGTTGCAAGGTACTCCTGATAAGCGTATACCGGTGACGAGGACGTGTCCCTATCATCACTATAATAGTGGTGCATGGAAAAACCTTATTTGAAGGCGAGTAAGGGTTTTTCTTGTCCCTCCTTCCGTGCTCTTTCTATCCTGGGTCACTAGCTCGTGTGCTTACAAGGTCGAGTTTTGCTTGTGGGAAATTTTGCGCTGCTGATCGCCTGCCGTATCTGGCGCGTGCTTTCCTGGTTTAGCGCGCGTCTTCCTCAATTGGCGCATGTTTTCTTAGTTTCGGGTACCCAAAACAGCCACCCTTTCTGTGAGAAAGGTTCGCACTGTTATTTGTCGGAGACGGCTAGTTGGCACAGATGAAACCATTTGGTAATACCGCACGCGTTGCTGTATCCAGGCGTATTGTACACTTCGTGGGTGAAGAAGACATGAAGTCGGACGCAACATGCGGGGCGATATTCACATGCAGTGATTTCCCTGAGGAGCTGGGACTTTCAGTGCAGGGCTTATGATAAAGCCAGCGAGATAAAGTCAGTGAACTAATAAATGTAAGGCTGAGTAGGGCTGTTACCTTTTCTAAGTGGTGTTACTAGGGGTTGGGTTGTAGTTCATTTTTGTTGGGTTTGGGTCCGAACCCAAGCCCCGGATGCTCAGAATCCCTGAGAATGATGATTTAGGATTGTTCGGAATTCTTTTAGGATTGAATCTGAGCCAGATTTTGAGCCCACCGTTTCTTTGAGCTCATGAGTTGGAGGTCTCTGATTTATCTGTGAAGCGGATCAATTCACTTGAACGCAAGTTTTAAGTGGTCAGATGTCCAGAACCGATTCTTAGCTCACCCCACTCGGACCTTTGACTGCGTACATTACATACTGTTTGTTATTTCAACATGTGGGCAGCTTATGATGTTATATATATATATATATATATATATATATATATAACATCATATATATATATATATATATATATATATATATCGTCGGCTGTTATGTATTCTGCGACCCGGCCTGTTCTCAACGGTGACGTGACCGATGACCCTCCGTAGCCGGTCATGCTGCGTGTCTGCTGACCCCGAGCCGCTGGAGGCCATCTGCTCGGCGCCGGCGCCGGCCCCGGCCACGCCGTCGCGGCCGAAGCGGCCGGCGCGGCCCGAGCCCAGCTTCTCCGGCCTCAACAGCTTGTCAGCGGCCCCGGCCCGCGGGGCGCTGCTGCACGCGGGCCCCCGTGACTCCATCATGTCCACGGACATCACGCTGCAGACGGTGCTGAACCACATCGCCTACATCAACCACCCGGCCACCGTCAAGATGTCGCCCAAGTACCAGGTAGGCAGGCGCCGAGCGACTCCCAGCCAGGTCGGAGTCACCTGTCGAGCGCGGATGCAGTTCTGGAGAAAGCTGTGGATACCCGAACCCAGGCTTCGACAATGGCTCTTATCTATATGAGCCAATGATGATTCCTATCTTTGTAAGTGAATGGAGTGGACTTGTGCAAATGACTTGTCTGGAAATAGGAATTTTTGCATTGACAACGTTCTCTGCACAGAGGATGAAACCGAAGTGTCTTGAATATATAGGTCACGTCTTTCAAAAACATTGATGTCCTAGGATGCAAGGTAATTCATTAGAACATTGTGGACGTGAGTTTTTTATTTATCGATTGAAGTAGCCTACATTCAAGATTCTCCCCGATGGAATGGAATGTACCTGAGCCTATTCTCGCTTTCGGCCAGCATTTTAAGGATATATATATATATATATATATATATGTATATATATATATATCTATATCTATATATGCATATTATATATATAGATAGATGTATATATACATATATATATATGTATATATATATATATATATATATATATATATATATATATATATATATATATATATCAACACGTGCGCAGCGCTGCCGTTTGTCAGAATCAGAGCAATCCATCTGCCCTTTGAGTCAAAGTCGTCTCTACCTGGCCGAGCGGGTCAGGAACAAGTCTGCAGCTGAAGGCGCCGTTGGCGCCGTGGCACGCTGCCGGTCAAAGCTGATCGCGCCCGACACGCGGTGCACAGGTCGACGGAATCGTCGCACGGCGTCCGCGGCGGGGATCGATCCTCCCGATTCCATTCCTCCCTCTCGCGGGGGTGCGGACAGACTGGGTGGCGGCGATAGTCAGCATTGGTGTCACTCTGGTCAAGCAATATTGGGGTCGTCGTTCAACTCCGCTTGATTTTCGTGATATGTAAACGAGGTGGATTTACATTCAGAGACGGTCTGATATGCAGACGACGTGGATTTATATTCAGAGTTGGTCTCATTTGGAGACGACCTAAATTCACATTTATCGATGACCTGACTTGCAGACGGGGTAAATTTACATTCACAGGCCGTCTAGTTTGTATATAGTGCAGGTGTCTGCACTCTTCGGCTTGTTTCATGTCCGTGTCTGAACTTCTTGCTGAGGTCTGACATCAGTCAACAAAACACCCAAAATTGACGGATCTGCACTGCACGCCCGGGTTCGCGTGACCTATTGCACAGTCGACCCAAACGCTCGCGACTGTGACGATCCGTTCTATTAATCGGCGTGTGGTGTTGGTTTTGTGTCTCTGCGGATCCGGGTCAGCCAGATTTACCGTAGAGGGTAAATCTTGTTGCATCATAAACAATAATCTTAATTTTGCTTTTAAACTTTTTGTGACTTTGATTTCCCGGGAAATAAAAGGGACAATTTTGATCATTGTCATGCTGTTTTTTGTGCTTGCGAATTTAAGCTTTGCTGTTTGCGAAATATATTTTCCCCTTTTCCAACTGTAATTTGTATATTAGTTGGCTCTGTCAAGTCCGTAATTTAGTTACCATTGTCGGAAGAGCGTGGATTGTCAAACAGCTTAAACGCAGATGCGATACAAATTACACGACACAGTCTTCAAAAAGCTGTGTTGTTTAAAGAGCTGTGTTTTATTACTGAAAGACACGTGAAGCTGCGGTCGGTGCTTTCGAGACTGGACTGTCTGTTGCCAGCTTCTGCAAGCTAGTACAAACTATAGAAAGCGTACAAACCGTGGCGGCGGGGCAGGACCAGTCGGGACCGGTCAACATATGATTTGTTGCAGTATTCGATAAGCACTCTGACGGCTCGGACGGAGAGGGCCGCTCTTCACGCCGACGTCATCCCTTGTAACCTTGTTACCAAACGCGTGTATGCACATAACAGGTACCCCTATCAGTCAAAAGCATGTAGTTGCAAAATCATCGCTGGATAATGAAGGATCAGTAATAAGGCTTCTTCAGCATTTTGTTGAGGTGTATCTTTACCCATTAGGATATGCGCAAGCCCTCGTGTGCATTTGCAGATCTTGGATTCTTCATAGATTACAAGCGTGTTTTATGATACGCACAATTTCAAGTTACGTATACCGGCTACCAGTCATATCAAGTTCATTGTGTGCCGAGTCAAAGTTCTGCAAGAACAATGAAGGCTGTGATTTCTACTATCGCTGGAGCCAGCCTTGCTTTAGATAAAAGCGCCACCTTCGCTGTGAACGTTTGGGTTTTGTCGGTCTGTCCGGGCCGAGTCGCTGCATGCCAACGTTGACACTGCAGATGGGCAGTGTCGGATTCGATGAAGCAATAGAGACAGACGCAGGTCTTTATTGCTAGGGGCTCTACAGAGGGGTTTACCGCTGGCTCCGCCTCGCTTTCCTTAAAGGGAGCGTTCTACATTTGTATGGGGTTTTGGATTGAAATAGCCATCTGAAAGATCAGTCAGTGCAGCGCACAGCCCTGTCCTTCCAATGTCTGAGCTATACGGCCGCGAATGTGTGCAGACTATTTTGGAGAGACTATTTCAAGGTCACCCAGGCATTCATGGTGCCATAACAACGTCATTCAAATTCTGTCATTCCATTCGCCATGCGTCATTGTTTGACTGTGTCATCATTCCTTACACAACATTGATTGAGAGCCAATTGACGGCCTGAAAATGCTGCTCACGAACGCCAGATATGAACGACTGGACAATTACGTTTTACTTGGCCTTGGTCACCGCATGGCCAACGAAATGTTAGAATTTGAATGGCGTTTTTATGGCGTCATGGATTCCTGGGTGACCTTAAAATAGTCTCCCCGAAAAAGTGCACATTTTCGCGGGTGTATAGCTCAGAAACTAGCGCCATGCGAAGGACAGAGCTGTAAACTGCACCAAATGATCTTGATGATGGCAAAAGATGGCACTTTTAGTTAAAAACCTCATACAAATAGGGAACACTACCCTTTAACTTATGGACGCGTTACGGCCGTTGCAAAAACGTAGGGACTTGGCGGGCTTTACCGATGGAGGCATCATTTTCTAGGTTGTCCTATGACTTCAGTCATGTAAAGTTGCTGACACTTTTGAAGTCTGCCGCTGTCTTAGCCGCAGGCCAGGGTAGAGAGTATGGTCCTGCACCGCCATGTGCCCTACAAACCTGACGGCAGGCCTGATTAGATAGTGGAGGCCATGTTTGTCGCACTAAATCATGGATTCGCAACCGTGAGTGATTTCGCTGTGCAGCGGACGTCGGACGAGATTGTCACTGATATCAATGCACTATGTCAGTGGGTTTTGGCTATGATGGCTTCCGGGCCAGAAAACACTCCATTTGTCCGCCCGCATGAGCTGCACCATCGACAGCATTCCAGCATTTAAGCGACCTTTGTCTTGATAGGTGAATGATTCGGCCTATCTATACTTGGCTGTGATCTGTGAAATTCCTCAAATGACTGCTAAAAACAGAACAGGAACTGGTCCTCTCCGCGTTCAAATAAAGATGAAAAAGCTAATCCACAAAGTCTAAATTTATCCTGATAGTCCTGCTCACAGGAGTGTTTTCTACACACGTCGGACGCGCGTCAAGACCAGGTGACATCAGAAGGAAAAGTATGATATTTGTACCTATTCCAGGATGCTGAAATTGGGATCCAAGACGGCTCGCTCATCACAGCATAAGTCACACCTGACGCACAAATGTTCGAGTATCCACTTCCGCTAATCGTCTGCAAATACGTCAAAAATCTGTTGCATTTAGGGCATTCAAACAGAGAGCACCTCGTCTAAAAGAATGCTCTGCGTAATCAGATGGGAGATGGGAGAAGAAGGCATGTCATGGGTGCAGATGCGATAGCTGTCGGAAAACAATGAAGCATTCTACGAAAGTGTGACGTGGGCATATACGCAGTTTAGAGCACGAGGACGTACGACGTGCGAAAAAACGCCCATTTGAACTGTACGCACCATATAGGACATTTTGTAACAATGTAGTGCATGCGCCATCTCTTGTACCGCGTTTTGCGCTAAGTATCTTGCCTTTGTAGTCGTTCATCAGGGGCTTGTTAACATGTTAAGTGTGTATGTGGGAAGGGGATCACCTGCATCCCGCCGGATCCCCCCCCCCCACACTGACCAGATTCCCTCCCTACTCGCAGCTGGTCTAGGCCCTTTCGAGCCCCGTTTGAGGTCCGTCATTCATCGCTGCCAATTCGCTTTACCTGTCTTGTCGCTTTTCACTTGAACGCAAGAATAAAGACCGCCACCATATTTCTTAAAAAGGCTTTGTCTGTAATGAGCATCAAACACGGCATCAACCGAGCGGCAACAAAGAAGCTGGAGCATGTCATGGTCCCAGTTTTGATTCATGTTGTAGGCTTTCTAATGTTATTGATCGGAAGCTGCCTCTTTTAATTTTCGGTAGTTCTATTTGTATTATTTTGCTGTTCCGCGGTGTATCACGCCGTAGCAGCTCTTTTGTATAGGTTTCACGGGAATTAAAAAATTTAGACTGCCTAAAATATTCCAATTTGCTGCATAGCCTTACATTCCGTTTGGCAGAGCATGACCAGCGCCACTCACGCCCGAGATGTCCGGAGCCCCTCAACCGTTTTAGCGAAGTGTAAGGCAGCAGTTACGCTTCGTTCCGAATCAGGCACACCTGTCGCGTGTCCCATCGTCCCGATCCGTAAGCTTCACCATTCACTTCTCCAAAACCCATGGAACCTTGACGCACGATTCGTGAAATCATCGCCGGCAATTTCCACGCCCACGCGGCCTCGGGACCGGGCGACTCGTCGCCGCGTCAGCCTGCAGCGGGCGCTGATGGTGCGCGGCGGACCCGAGAGCTGAGGGGTTGGCGCGGCGCGCTGCCGTACCGCGTGCAACCTGAAGGCTGCGTCCGCCCTGGAGAGCGGAGCTCTGACAGATGGTAACCTCCGGCGCCGTCCGAGACACCGCCAGCAGGCGTATGTGCGCCAGGAATGGTGGCTGTGTTATCGGAGATCACGGATTATCTGACACGCTTTCAGCTGAAGGCTGACCAGCCGACTCAGACATGCTGACGAGCCAGCAGCTGGTACTGGGTCGCATTAACAAGCGGGAAGGAAGTTGTGTTTTATTCTTTGAAGCATTTTACAGCTATTTTTGTTGCAGACTTAGGCATGAATTCCTTATATGTATATATATATATATATATATATATATATATATATATATATATATATATATATATATATATATATATATATATATATATATATATATATATATACATGTATGCATATATATGCATATGCATATGCATATGTATATGTATGTATATGTATACGGTGCATCTCAGCAGAATACTTTCCTTCATGCACGTTTGATTAAAAACGGGCATTCATACCGCATATTAACAAGCTTTTTGATGCATTGTTCGACGTTCCGGGCCTCTGACTTAGCCGGATCGCTAAGATCAAAAATTGTTTGTGTAAAATCACTCATATATTCGTCCAAATCTGTATATTTTTAAAGTCGCGAGACATTATTTCATCGTCGAAGAAACATGAATGACACAAGTAATTTTTTTTAGTGTTTAAGGATGAAATGTGCATCGCTATCTTAACAACACATACACACACACACACACACACACACACACACACACACACACACACACACACACACACACACACACACACACATATGTATGTATATATATATATATATATATATATATATATATATATATGCGTGTGTGTGCGTGTGTGCGTGCGTGCGTGCGTACGTGCGTGCGTGCGTGTGTGCTTGATATGACGTAACATGCCACACAAGACGTGAGGAAACGTTACATAATTGCGAAAATATGAAAACCTGATTAATATTAATAGCATACGCGGGACCCCAAGTGCCAGTGCATGACGCGTGACACCACAAACTCGCTCTATATCGATTTTATCGTGTGGTCGATGCAGCAATTAGTTCCGAACGTTCCGTTACCCGATGACAACGTACTGATTTGCGAGACGTTTATGCGATTTGGCTCATACATGCCAGATGGACTTGTCATCAGTATAAGGGATGAGACCGGAGATATATTGCAAACAAATTCACAAAAAGCAACGCTTAGCATGACACGCTCAAAAAGGTCCTTGTTTAAGTCAAATTGGACACACTTCAACGTTACCATCCCACTGGCTATGAACACGGAACAGTCCGCCAGTGGTGTGCTGTCTTATCTACCATGATCACGACTATGGTAGATCTTGAGAGCGACTAAGAACTCCGACATCCGTGTCTCCAACAGCGACGTGCTGTGTCGACAACGATTTAGAGTTTGCCGTCCGTATCTCCGACAGGTGCGGCGGATCCTGAAGGTGACGTACGCCACGGCGTTGCTGGGTGCCCTGCTGTCTGCCTCGTATCTGGCCGTGCTGTATGGTGGTCTTCGGCCGCGTTCGCTGGCCTGGCTCCTGCTGCAGACAACGGCACGTACCGCCGAGTTTCTCATGGGCTGCTGCATCGCCAACATCACCAAGCAGCCGGTGCAGCGGACTGGCAACAAGCTGCGGCAGTACCACTGAGGCGCCCTGACTGGGGCATGACGCTCAGGCGGCGGCGCTGAGGGTCTGGCGCGGCGGCCGCGGACGGCGGCGCGACCTCAGCCGCTCAGGCGGCCGCACTGAGGGTCTGGCGCGGCGGCCGCGGAGGGCGGCGCGACCTCAGCCGCTCAGGCGGCCGCACTGAGGGTCTGGCGCGGCGGCCGCGGAGGGCGGCGCGACCTCAGCCGCTCGGGCGGCCGCGCTGAGGGTCTGGCGCGGCGGCCGCGGAGGGCGGCGCGACCTCAGCCGCTCAGGTGACGGCGCTGAGTGTCTGGCGCGGCGGCCGCGGAGGGCGGCGCGACCTCAGCCGCTCAGGTGACGGCGCTGAGTGTCTGGCGCGGCGGCCGCGGAGGGCGGCGCGACCTCAGCTGCTCTCAGAAGCGGCGGTGAGGCGAATCTGGGGCGACTGACAGGCGCACGGCTGTGGCCGCCGACTGTGGAGGCGGGCTGAACTCCCGTGACTGTGGCGGCGCGACTGCAGCCAGCTCCGGGTGCCACCGGCGCTGTCAAGTAAGGCCGAGTGGCCACCCAGGTTGGCACCTCCCACCAGCAGACTTGGGAACAGCGCGGAGATCTGACTCGACTTAGAATTGCATCGTTCGCGGTGCGCCGGCGCAGACACGGCACATGGAGCACCCGTCCCAGGCGTGTCCCGCCGGCCGGGGCATGTTATCATGTGCGATCTTCCCGTCAATCTGTTGTGGCTCAACGTGCTCGTGCGAGCGTGGTCTGGGGCGCGCTTTCGGCGATGCGCTCCGGGCTGTCACGTTCCGCATCGCGAGCTCGAACGCGTGGGTGCCAGGAACGCGTTCTCTCTGTTCTGGATGTGATATCACGTGCGCTTGCCACACGAGCGATGGCCATTGTGTGTTTGCGGCGAAGAGAAGGCGTGTTTACGCCCGTTGGACCGTAAACTCTGGCAACCCTCCATGTATAAATGACCCGCTACATCAGCATGACCTATTTGAGACTGAGCGCTGTACGTGCACAATTTTTTTAGCTAGCACTGTCAACTCTCAAGGGCTGCTAGGACGTTCACAGGAAAGCTCGATGTTCCCGACGAGCTGGCGCGCAAGGATTTCTACTGTTTGTAAATGTTCGAACATCTACCGCGAATGAGTTTGACTTGTGTTGCAGAAGGAAAATTGCTAGACTTATAAGAAGTGAGATGGCCCCCACAACAGGAGTTTGTCATCGTGAGCTCTCGACTGTCATGCTGGAAGCACTCTGAAGTTTTGGGAACCAACACATATTACAGAAATGGTTTTGGGAAACAATGCCAAATTGTATTTACAAACCACATTCTGGAGGCTGCAGCAAAGAACCGCGTTGCACGTCCGCTCTTGTTACCTCTTACGTCTGTTGGCTAATTCACTTGAAGGGTCTTGCAAGCGTGCAGTGCGAACATGCGCAGGCTTGTAGTTTACAACTGGCGGCATGCTTGACGCTTTAGACACCGCGAAAGGGCCCACATCAACTCAGCGAGCACCAACTGAAGACACGCGGGACAGCGGACCAAGACCGAGCACCTACTCGCACCGACATCTTGTGCTGGTATCGGTCCGTGGGACAAAATGGTCTGAATGAGCACAGCATTCCGCAGCGCAACATAACTGCATTTTTCCGTAGGCGAGCGACTGCATAAAGTAGGCACTGGCCGGTGTCCACGTCTTGGAAGTGCGCTTGCTTAGGCCCTGCGGAGTGTTAAAAGCCTGGGGTCTCGATGAAGGGGCCAGCCGTAGTTTTGACCGCTTCGCCCAAGGCCTCACCCCTGCTGTCGACACTACAGCGGCCTGAGTCACTGCCAACTGGAAGAGCGCGATCCGCAGGGCCGCGCGCTCCCTAACTGGAGCTGTGAGCTGTACGACTGCACTTCGGATGTCGGCTCCTGCGTCCTCGGTAAGATAAACGGAAAATCGCAAGCATAAGCATGGCCATGGCTTCATCGGAGCAATTTTACGAGCGGGCAAAGGTCTAACACCCATTCGTAAGCGAAGCTCTAGTTTTGAATGGAGATGCAATTTTACGTCGGTGAATGTGAGGGGAAAATCGTTGCTAAGCATGATGCCTTGCAAGGCGTCCCTGTTCCAGTCTGGGTCTGTCGTCAAATGGCCGAGAAAGACGAGCAAGGTATGCGCGGCTGCTGGGACGCGGACCCACATCCTTATTGGTTTTCTACGCTCTGCCAACTGATACACAGGAATGGTAAAATATGAACTCACTTAACACTTCCCCAATCTTTTAGCGAGTAAGAGGTTGAAATGCTCCGCAAACTAGGGTACTTCGCGGATTGACTTTTCAGGATCCCGTCCAGTCCGGTTAGCCCAGATCCAATCCACCCACCAATTCGCTTTTCTTAGATTTATTTATCCAATCCGGTGTAGTCTGACGTACCAAACAAATAACTAAATGAATCCTTGCCAAGCCGCTTCCGCATTAAGGACTTTTTGGAACGGAAAAAGCAAGTTTGGTCCATCTGAGTATCTTGAATTTAAGGTCTTTTTTTGAAATTTTCATCGGAAAAATGTGCAGAAGTTGTCATAAGCCATGCAGTGCTAAGGCACCCAGCATAGCTTGTTAGGTATTGCGGAATAAACAACGTTCGTCATATTATTAATATTACAATTATTTCGATCATCATCCACAAATACCGTCACATCACGAAGGCCAAAATATCTTCAGGCTCCAATAATCGAAAGGCATGAGCACATTACCTATCATTTTCAGACTCCAGGTTAGGTACGACATACCTGAACATGCCGCTCGACGGTTTCAACGGCACCCAGCTCAAAAGCACAGGACGTCGCTCATCTGGTGCGCTTTCTGAATAACTAAAACGACCACCTCACCTGACATATGATACTCCAGGTGCGTATCCAATCTCGAACACACCAACTGACGAAACAACCTCAGCTGTGATCATTATGTATTGCTAGATGATCAGCTACGTCAAGATTTTCATCCACGCGCGCGACTGCCCGCTGGAAGTTGCTGTAGCACTCTTCTCTCCACGAAAATGAAACAGTTGCGTCATTGAGCCCTATTGCTAAATTGTCAGGTGCCACCAGCCCTCCTTTTTTGCCTCTGCTGGAAACAATACCCTAATTATTTTTGTTTGCAATTGTGCATCGCGCAGCTCCATGAAGTCGCATCTAAATAGCTGAAAAAATGTTCCCAGATACACTGACAAAGGTATGTTAATTACTATCATTCTTTGTTGCTTTTATAACGCTAAGATAGGTACCATCATAAATATCAGGGAGTCGATAGAATAGCAGCTGTTTACCAGCACGCAAAAGCCGCCGCCATTCGCCGCCGCCCGGCACAGCCTTCGAGCCGTCCGTGCGGGTTATCTGATGCGGCGGAGCGGGTTGGTATTTGGTGTTGGTGGCAAATACTTCCTTGTTGTGTGCCTTTCGTTGGATATCTTGCGTGCTGGCATGGTTTCTGCAAGCCACAGATATGCCCGGTTGGCCACGGGTCTGTGTTTTCGTGTTATTATTCTAAATGGTGATGGTGGTGACGGTGCCAGTCGGTGGCGGCAATCAGGCCGTGCCGTTCCCTAGTTTACGTATATTGTCGTGGCATTGACTTCGGTTTCAGTTCGAGACGGCAGAAAATCAAATAACACAAAGAAAATAAGATCCCTTGAAAATAAAATGGACAGAAATACAAACAACAATATAAAAACAAGAAAATAAAGAAAATGGACGAAAGGCGGTGGCTTTAAGGGGGGACGACAACTTCATGGGGTCCTTCGTTAACCCGGTGCCCCATGATTACCAGGACTGGCTGCGACCGTGCACGAACCGATGCTTCAGCCATGCGTACGCACCCACTGTTAGCTGCGCTCAGATTTATGCTCATTTGAGTCATGGGGCTAATCTCATTACCCACACATTTCTTGAGCTGAATTGTCAACCGATAATTTCTGACAACAAATTACAACAACAAATTCATACCATACGAGTGGTATGGCTCAAATTAAAATGGCAACATGATGAAACAAGGCACACCCTGCACAAACTAACCACTGCAGTGTTTAAAAAAACAGCACAAAGCATTCGTTTAAGCTTTTTGCTAAATCAGCGCGAAGTTTGCAATTGTAATTTCCATACAGCAAACAAAACATTGTTGAGCCTGAACTACATTTTGCCAACTCTCAACTAGAAACCAGGGGATACTACAGGGTTCAGGCATCCTCATTCCTATATCTTACGCTTGAAACCGTGAAAAGTTGTATGCTATCTATTAAATCCAAGGGATGGTCATATTTTTCATTGCCAGTTGTCACAACAATCAACCAATCACAATGAATCACAAAACAAACACAGAACTGGCCTCACCTTCATCACCACTTAAACGGCTATAAGTTTTTGTTTGCTACTGCTATTAGTTTTTTATCGATGTGATGAATCCATTGGAATCAACTGAGACAAAGTTTCTCCTTGGCACATAAATAAATGACAGTCTTTCAGGTCTGACGCGCCGCACCAATGTTGATATTGGCGAGGCCAGAGCGGTTTTCCTTCGCTAGGCCAAGGCTATGTAGTAAGGTATGGTCATCCGGAGATTTTCCGACACTTTCCCTTCGCTATTACCGTGACGTCACAAAGTCGCAGCCTGGCATCACCTCTCCGCCTGCATTATCTTCGCGTCTGCTACACTGGTGCACCTACTAACAACTGCATCTGGTGATGGCTAAAGGGTGCTTGAAGAAGTTTTATCAGGAAATATGAAAGGGATATTTTTTGCCACACTGGGTGCATAACAGCTAGCGTAGGCCTAGGAACCGAGAGCCTGTGTGCCGTGCCACTCCCACTTGCTGAGGATACCAAACATTTAATCTATGGCGATGTATTGAATTTGGCCAGCCTACAGCTGTTTAAATGCAGGCTGGCGAGCCAGCCCGAGGTCCAGCCACTGCCAAAGGGGGAACTGACCGGCACCAGGATCATCATCCGAACTGTCGCGCTTAACCTCAGCACTATATATAATG